TGTCGTCTCAGATTACACTATTTCAATCGCGCCACACTTTCTCCGCACAGAAGACACCCAGGTTTTCCAGCTACCTCCATGAACATGTACTTCGACTCCCACCTTGTTTGAAACCCCCGGTTCTCAGTGTCCACCTTCCGTTTTGCCATTTTTGATGGGTATCTGAAAGCTAATGTCACTGTTATGGGAACGACTGCTAGACTAATAAATATTTAAATAAAGCGGCCGACTGCTTGGCGCGTCACCGTTGCATTGTGGGAAATGTAGTATTGGTGCGTTTAAAAGATCTGCGGGCTCTCGGCTTGCTGCGGTCCGCGGGCCGGTTCTAATAATAAATCAATATCATCCCAGGGGCCACTGAAAACATTCTCGCGGGCCGGATGTGGCCCGCGGGCCGGCACTTTGACATATGTGTCTTAAACCGTGACGAATTTGGACAGACCTACCATAGAAGAAGAGCGGCGCAATGTAGCCGGCAAAAATTTGCTCCAAATTAGCCTTTGCTCAGCGCCCATCTTCATGGGAAACAAAAGCTAGATTTAAAGGCTAGATTTGAAGGCTTCGTTAATTTCGTAATAAGCTTTAACAGAACACGGTATTCCGATATCAGAATCTTCCACATCGTTAACATTACATTTCACCCTTATTTATATTCGACGGATATTGAGTCAGGCATTACGTGGCTGCAGTCCTCTTTTGGTGTTAAAGCAGCACTTGTTTGATTTTATAATAACTAACACCAAACTAATTACCGTTAGCATCTATTGTATAGTGTATTACATACAATGTTTTAGCATTAAGATAGTGGACTTTAATTCAACGCACTATAGATGGTTGAAAATGTTGGTGATTAAAGTTGTTGTGCAATGTTTAATTCTGTTGGGTGTTTTAGGTGTCCGTTTTAAAATAAACTTCAACAGGAGTAGCAGCTATTGTGGATTCGACTTTTCTTCCATTGCTGCTTTAGGTGTTGTTCTGTTGGGCCGGCAATGAAAAAAAATGTGTGCTGAAGTCTTCCGCAGCGCAGTTGTCCATATTTTGTTCTTTCCACCTGCAACACTAAACATATTTTACATGTATGAGTAATAATTAGCTTGAAGCGAGCACACTGAACTCCTTTTTGGAGACCTGTGTACAACCTGCCTGGCTGCGTAGATGTACCGGTCATATTGTTTTGTGAAATCTGAGGAAAAGCAATTTTGCACATTGGACCAATCGCCACCAAATCACAGGGAACGTCCAAAAACAACCTTGTTGTCATCGGTGTCGCAAATGTACTGGAGCCTATTCCAGCTAAGTTTTGGTGAGAGAAGCGAGTTACACTTTGAACTGGTTGCCAGCCAATCGCTCGGCATGTACAAACAGTCACAGTATCCACGGAAGACCGATGCAAGAAGGCCAGAACCAAGATATTCCCCCATAAATTCAGAACCGTGAGCCAGACGTGCGATCATGCTGCCTAAAATGCTATCAAGCCATGCAAAAAAAAAGAATCATACTCGAGTGTAAGAATGTTTTGTGTGTGTGCAGTCAATCATTGACTGTTAATCGGCTTTGTTCTGGCCCTTAAACCTCTTGGTGTTATGGAGCTCAATCCCATTAAAACAACCTTGAACGCTTTTAAGGCCAATGAATAAAGAGGGAGGGTGTGGATAATCGTAAGTGAAAGCCTGCCTGAGCAGACCCTTTTAAAAGGCTCCCATTGTGACCACTTTCCAGCACAGCGAGGCGACTGGAAAGACTTCTTTGGGGATGCAATGTCTGGCGTGGGCCCCCAGAGACGTTACATCCTGCCCGTAGGATATCGCTAAAGCAGATGTTCGCAAAACTTGGCAGCAGAAGGGCATAGGAAGACCTCTATTACATTCATTACCTCATTTTGACACACTGTTGACGATTTATTGCTCGCCAAGTGGCTTTCTGAATTGCTAGAAGAAGAATTATTCGCCATGTGAAACTGCCTGGGAAAGGTTTTAATATGGTAACATTTTTAACTGTCACACATGTCAAAAGAGATGTTAGCTAAAGTACTACATAATACAACAACTCACCTCAACTGTATTTAGAGAGCACTTTCAAACAGCCATCGCTGCATACAAAGTGCTGTACATGGAGCAATTAACATATACAACAAACAGTAAAGCAAATCGGTAACAAAGACGGTAGAAAGCACCGAACAACAAAACCAAGAACAAATCTAAGTCATGCTGAGTCAAATGCCAAAGAATACAAGTGAGTTTTGAGGCGGGTTTTAAAGATGGGCAGCGAGGAGGCTTGCCGAATGTTCAGTGAGGAAAACAACTACATGGAGGAGGGAACGGGAATGAAGTGCACAGTGACACCATCTAGTGGATGATGTTAATTTGGGTTATTTTGTTTAGTTCAAAATTTTTGCAAGTGGCTCAATTGGGATATGTGTTATGGAAGCGTAAAAAGAAAAACAAACATGGAATTAGATAGCTTCAGAATCAGACCTCATCCAAATGTGAATTAAAGTCTTGTATAAATTGAATATCTGCGATAGCAAATGAAAAGTAAAACATTCAGATCGCAACTAACGCAAACTAACAATGAGCCGGACATTGTAACTATTGTGAGGCATCTTTAGAGTGTCCAGAAAAGTGTGATTTACTGTATATCTGATCCATTATTATGATTAAACATGGTATTAAAGTAACAAGCAAATCTAATAAAAAGAACATTTAGGACATGACACAAAAAGCATCTTTTCATAATGTGGGTGTCCTGTGAGGAGCGGAATGTGGACCCTGAAGCAGATATGACTCAGGAGTTTAAAAGTAAAAGTCTTTATCTACGAAAATACAAAGTAACTAGAGAGAGCAGGGCTAGATGCAAAAGACCCAGAAGAGAGATGACACTCTTGAGAAAGCTCGACATACCGACATATCACTGAGTAATCCGAGCGAGTTTATATACTGTGCCTGTACGACACTATAAAGGCCCAAAACATTCAAGAGCCGCAGCAACTGCATAGCAACTGAAACATTAAGGGGGAACAAACAGTCACAACAGTACCCATACCACCCCCTCCCCCACTCCCTCAAGGGGCACCACTCGGTGCCCAATTCGGCTTGTGAGGCAACTCCTAGTGAAAATTCAAAATTCGTGTCAAAATCAGAATGCAAAGGAACAAAAGATAAACGAGGTCTAGATTGTATCAGAAATACTCAATAAACAGAAGTCCACAATGAGAATCAAAGTAACATGAAACCTAAATACTAAATCGAAATCAAAATCAAAGACGGACCGCAGAAGGCCAGACAAGAGGTTCTTGGTGGGACCAGTCCAGGGTCCACGCAGGAGGCGAGGGCGGTCTTGGGCATTGTCGCAGTAAGTTCGGAGGGCAGTCGCAAGACAGGCACTGACGGAACAGGGTCAGAGGGCGGCTGCAGGGCTTGTGCTGAAGGAGCAGGGTGGAAGGGCGTCTGTAGAGCTTGTGTCGCCGAGTGTTTAATTTTTTTTTGATCTGCAGCATAACAGGAGTGTTTAATGTAGAGTAAATTACACAGTATTCTTAATGTGACTTTTCTGGTTTTTCGCTCCATGTTTGCAGATAAGCATCATCGCCAGCACCTCATTAATATTATCAGAAAAAACAAGACACACGAGTTTGTCACATCGAGCCGCCAACATGAAGGGGATGTTGCAGCTTGTCGTGATCTGTTGCACTTTGTTGGCTGTGACGTGTTCAGGCCAGGCAAGCTTTCCTGGTAAGTTGGGAAATAATTTCCTGTCGCTTACATGATCACACTTTGAGGTAATAGGCATTTGTCCAAAAGGATCCGTCATTCCCAACCACTTTGCCTTGAGAAATTCACTTCATTGGTCTGAAAATGATTTAATTAATCAAAATAATGTATAGTTGCATCTGTCTATGCGATGGACATGTACTGACAGGCAAAACAATTAAGTCTTCAATTCGTAGGCAAAAGGTTCAGTTCATCTGCGTATCCACCTGTTGCCATTCATTTTCGCCCCCTCCGACAGCAGTGTGTGCCACTGCAAAAACGGCTTTATTTGTCGTGACGACTGGGCACAGAGTACTAACTGCCAAGTATGTGTGTACAAAGTGCTTACTTGGGAGTTTTCTCCTGTTATTTTGGCTCCCTCCCATAATCAAAAACATGCATGTTAAGTTGACTGGAAACTCAAAATTGTCTAAAGTTGTGAATGGTTGTCGTCTTATATGCGCCCTTGTGATTGACTAGCGACCAGTCCAGGGTGTACCACACTAACCCAATCAGGCTCAACTCTAATGAGAACAAGCAGTGAAAAAAATTAAGTGAATTTCCCTTTTAGTTAACTTATTTTTCCACGTTATGTCCTTGGCTGACACCATTGGTAGCTCTTTCGTATGACGATATATGTACTGCCCATGCATTAGAGCAAGAAAAGGATCCCAATTTCTGGAGATCCTGGGCCCAGCGGACATTGACCGACGCGCTGATGCTGCAGCAACTCAACCAGAACAGAGCCAAGAATCTCATCATGTTCCTTGGAGACGGTGAGTCACAACGACCCGCTTGCCTCGAGCACGTACACAATCATGATCCCATCTTACTTGAACAACTCTATTCAGTCGTTCAGTTTTTCAACACAAACAAACCGCCTTCACACAAGGTTCCAAAATATAAGCTCGCCCACTAGCCTAGATAACGCACTAGCACAAACTGACATGACATCCCGCATGGGCAAACAAACATGCACACTAGCACTTTACACATTTTGGCATTCACAAATGATGATAATAATGCTGGCAAAGTAGCCTACATTAGTAGCTGCTTTGCCTGAGCACAAAAACACCAAACCGGTTTTTACAGCAAGTAACGTATTGGGTGAATTTGCAAATACCAGACAGCAACAGATGAACTGTTTAAAAAAAAAAAAAAAAAAAAAAAGGTTTCACTGAAAAATTTCCACTAAAGTGGGGCGCGATTCACAGTTGATTGGATTCACTGTGTATTTGCTGAAAAATTAATATAATTTAAATCAAAATCAGAATGTAGGAGAACTGATTGTTGTAATCTGACATATAATTTGCGTGTGCGGCAAATTTATTTGGTTCAATTTTATGATGTTGTCATAGTGGACACTTAAAAGACCGCAAGTTTGTGTTTAGTAAGTTAACAACTCTATTGAAGTAAATAAGTAACATGTCTTTAAACCTAACCATAAACTATAAACCTGAAACCTAACTTTGAAGACCAAAACATGATGTATAATCAGTCTGATATTGTTTATTGTAATACAGAATAATTTATTGTTTGTGAGGACCTTGGAAAAAACAATTGCATACTCAATCACAATCACAATCGTAACGGAAAAAAAAAAATCGCAATGCTATAATTTTTCTACATAGTTCAGCCTGACTATATCGGCACTAAATCCAAATTGGACCGGCAGTGCAACTCCGCTCAGCCGTTGCCGTCTGTGTGCGGTGAATGAACATTGGGAAACCAAACAACGTTGCACGCTCATCGGTGGAACAATAACTCGAGTCTTTCATCGGGGCCCCTGCACTGGGCGGTTTGGACGCGGGCCACAACATGACATTCCTGTCCAGCACGGCGCCCATACTTATTCGCATAGAACCACTCAACGTCTGTCATAATTTTTCCTTTTATTAAAAAAAAAAAAAAAAGGAAAAGTTATGTCACTTCTAAGAATGTGTGGAAAGAGCGAAGTGATGCAGCTGTGGTGATTTATCAACACGGGAATCAGAGATGAAATAACCCCGTTGTTTACATGTTTAAAGATCTTTAGTGTGACTCTGTTAATCAATCAATGGCACATGGTTAATTGACTGATGAATTGAATTATTGATCATGAGTTCCCCATGAGGGGAAAACAAATGCATTCTTCACGGTTGACCTGTTTGTGGCGTTTTAAAGGGATGGGCGTTCCCACGGTAACGGCTGCTCGGATATTGAAGGGTCAATTGAGCGGACACCCTGGAGAGGAGACCGTGCTGGAGATGGACAAGTTCCCCTTTGTGGCTTTGTCCAAGGTGATTCGTGTTGCATGTGTGTTTTTTAATTGTAGTCTTAATATAACCTGCATAATCTTTGGAGGGTTATTTTATTATTTTTTCTTTCTAAACGCCAATGTTACTTTAACCTGCCCAATTTTAAAACCCATTTAATTCCACCGGTCACATTTGTGAAGGACAACAATGATTTCATCTGTGCTGTACAGCACATTTGACAATAAAGTTGTATTCAATTCAATTCAATTCAATTTAATTTACAGGGCTCTAAAAACATTTGACTTTTAAATGTCTGGGAAAAATTTGGGATTAAATGGGTTAAGATTAAAAAAAATAATAATAATAATAATAATAACAGCCTATTTGAACCTACCTGACTACAGTTTTTACTGGAGTCTTGTTTTTAACTGCACAACTTTTTTTAATCTGTCTATTTTGGTATTTTCCATGAGTGTTATTTTAAATTAGACAGCTTTTTGGAAGCTTTTCTACATTGTTTGGCATGCATTAACAAAACATCTCCCACATGATGCTCTTTGTCCGGTCAAATGGTTCAATCAGCGTGGCTTTGGGAGTGGGTTTGTGCAAGGCAGGCACCAGTTATCCTGCTTCACATGTCAAGTCACAATGTTCAATGGCAGAATTTTTTTTCAGGACTCACAGAGTCCACCGAAATGAGTTTTCCTAACTGTGACGTGATCTGCGCAGACATACAACACGGACGCGCAGGTGGCTGACAGTGCCGGCACAGCCACGGCCTTTCTGTGTGGCGTCAAGGCCAACTGGGGTACGGTGGGCGTGAGCGCAAATGCTGTCCGCTCCCAATGCAACACCACGCAGGGTAACGAGGTCACCTCCATCCTCAAGTGGGCCAAGGACGCAGGTAGGCTTTTGACGACTCACGGCGCAATTCGCCATTCGAGGGGGTTGACTGTGTTACTAGTTAGTAAAGTGTTGAAGACAATGGGGACAAAGGGTTTGTATAGCTAACTGCACTAAGTGCATGTCTCTAAGCCCCTTTCACACTATTGTATATTCATGGCAAGATAAGATAAGGTGATCCTTTGATCCCTGGAGGTCGCTCCAGGGTGTCCCCCACCTCTCACCCAAAGTCAGCTGGGATAGGCTGAAGCGCACATGTGAAAAGTGCTGCATCGCCGCAATGCTCTACCAACGTAGTATATAAAATACAGACAGTATATTGAGCTGTACAATAATGTTAACTGTAATTTATAATTTACATTATATGGACCTGTGTGCCAGAAAGCAAAGCGCAGAAAGTGAATGGGGTGATAGATCATTGCAAGCAGTCTCAAAATTTCCAGTCTCCTTTATTGTTGCTGTTTTCATGTCTTTGAGGCAATCTGCTTCTTTGTTGACAATTGTGCCATGGTTTTGTGGTTTAGTAAGACATGCAATAATGCAGTATATTGCATGTGAAATGCCATGACATGATATAGTGTTGTATATAATGTATAACGTTTATAACGTAAAAACCCTTTGCCATAACTGTCTACATTTTGTTTGTTGAATTGGGCAACGCAATGTCAAATGCATTCTCCATTCAGGAGTCAGTACGGAAATACCATACAGTAGCCATCCCTTTAATTGAATAAACTCCGTGCCTCAATTTGTCATCCATTATCTGCCTCCTCCCATCTCCGGTTGCGTGAATACTCACAGGCACTATTTGCACAAGTATGCTTATGGAGACTCCTCAGTACGGTATAATTCATAGCATCATCTGTTTACCACATAATATGCTGTGAGCTTCATGTACAGTACATGGAACAGCTATGTATATCTTTTTTTTTCCAAACTGGCTACCCGCAGGACAACATACTCTACTCGGAACACTTATGCTGGGCCACAGGCATTCCTTCTACATTCCCAAATTCCCGTGTCCTCTGCAGGCAAGTCGGTGGGCATTGTGACGACAACTCGTATCAACCATGCGACACCCAGCGCCGCCTACGCGCACAGCGTCGATCGAGAATGGTACTCGGACAACGAGATGCCAGCAGAGGCGCTGCAGGCTGGCTGCAAAGACATCGCCAGGCAACTGTTTGAAAATATCCCCAACATTGATGTGAGTTTCACAAAAACACATATCCTTCTGAAGTCCAGAATGAAAATGTAAACCACGAGTACAGTGAAACTCCTCTAGAACGAAACCTACATGGGCGAAAATACCCCCTAATGTGAAAAAATCTTCATGCATTCACACCATTCCCATTCTCCTGCCCCCCATACGAAATCATTTTCTTTGCTCCTGCCTCGGGAAGACATTCACTACAACGAAGTGTAATCCAACAGCAACCTCTACTGCTTCGTTCGGAAACGGCAACATCAACCACCACACTGGTTTACATAGTGAAAGCTGTTTATTTCGGTCACAGCTGCGAGTTTCCTGAACGCAACACTCATAGCTGCTCTGCCATTGGCTTACCGAGCATCATCCTGGCCTCCGATTGGCCAAGAGGGACCTCACTGTCTATGTGTGTAGATACTGTAGCTAGACCCGTGGAAGATAGAGTGGAATGCATCCGATTAGCTGCTCAGAGTAAGTTGCTTGTGGCTCGACGGACAGTCAAATAAACGAACGTTTCCTGGAATGCTTTACTTGTTATCATGCTAAAAACCTTACGCTAACTGGAGCGCTAATTAGAGAGAAGGCGAGTTCCAGTGGCTGGCTTTAAAAGTTCATTGCATGACATCAGCTGAGC